GGGCGGGCGCCGCTCATCAGCCACGCCAGTCACGTCTGGGGCCACCGGCCGCCTTGTTCTTCCTTTCCCGCTTTGCTTTCTCCCCTCTCCCCTGTCGGCGAGGGCAAAGTGGCCGTGGTGGCGCCATGCCCGGGCCGGAGTGAGTGCGAGCGGGCGAAGATGGCGTACATCCAGGTAGGGCTGAGGCTGGGGGCGAGGTCCGGGGCGCGGGCCGGGGGGGCCTCGCCCCCTCCGGCTGGGAGCGCGCGGAAGGGAGGGCGCACGGCTAGGCTCCCGCAAACTTGCTTCGAGAAGAAGGGTGCCCGAGCGCCGGCAACCTGTGCAGCCGCGGCGGCACGCCCCGGGCGGGCGAGGCTGGGGACCCCCAACCCCGGAATGGCGGGCCCGCCGTGGACTCTGCACGCGCGCCCTCGCCTCCTGGGGAGGGAGTGGGGGGCGGGCGGACTTTTCTTCCCCTCTCCCTCCCCCTGGCACCCCACCCCAGGGGAGGGGCCGTGGGGAGGGCGGCCCGGGGCGCGCCTGCCACCCGGCCCGCCTGCTGCCGTTGCCTTGGTGACGGCTCTGGCTAATTGGCCGGCGGAGCGAGCCCGAGGCAGCTGTTCCGGCCGGGAGGGACAAGGACGTCGTCTCGCCCGGGCACTGGGTGCTGAGGGGTGGGGGGACACACAAGAGGCCAGGGGCTCGCTGGTCAGGGGGAGGCAGCCCATTACTTTAGTCCGTTGCGTTGTGGTCTGGGAGATGTGGACCCCCTTCACCTTGAAGAAACTCCCCCAAGAATCCCTGGGCTGAAATAATTTCCAAGCAGCTTTTTTGGGGGGGATGGGGTGGGCCGGCTGCTTGGTTAAGAGACCTTTCTCCTCTGCAAGGGAGTGGCGACAGGTCAGCGCCAAGGTCAAGCAGTCAGACCTGCAGTGAGACCCGCAGAGCTGCTCCCTTCTGGGGCTGGCTTCTCTGAGCTGGGCTGCGACGCCGACTCCGACAGACGTCCAGGGTGTGTCTTGGCTCATGTCTTAGCCACAGCTGGGGACTGCTGGTCCCCCCGTTCCCTTCTGGATCCCCTCATCTTGTCCTCAGACTTTTCAGCTTGCCAGGACCTCCGTGCTCTGTCACCTGGTGGAGCCTCCCCCATTCCTCTCCTGGCTTGGATTCCCTGGATTGGAATCCCTTTCATGGAATAGCCAGTTTCTCTTTTCAAGTTCGATGAAGGTCACTTTTGCTATACACCCACTGTGTGCTGAACGTTGTTGAGGGGCTGCTCAATGGTCAGACACTTGGGCAGCCACCTACTGTGTGCGGGCACTGGGGATACAATGGGGAAAACAGCACAGTTTCAGCCCCTCTGAATGCACACTCTGGTGAGAATGAATATTATAACAGGCTTCTCTAGTTCTTAATGACCACCTTCATCGCAGAGAAATTAAGTGACTTGCTCAAGGCCACACAACTGCTTAGGGGTAAGTGGGATCTAAAACGGGTGATGGTGAGGGTTGGTGAGGGATGCTTAGCGTCTCCTGTGAGGAAGGCCTGATGATGTTGGTTTTCCTTCTAGAACACGGTGTTAAACTTTTTCTATAAAATGCCAGATCTTATTTTTTCCCCTTGGAGGCCCACATGGTCTCTGTCATACTCTGCCACTCTGCCCGTAGTGCCAAAGCAGCCGCAGACAGTGAGTGTGGCTATGTTCCAATAAAACTTTATTTGTAGGCACCAAAATTTGAATTTCATATACTTTGCACCAGTCAAGAAGCGTACATCTTCTTTTGATGTTTTTCAACCAATTGAAAATGTACAATTCGTTCTTAGCTTGAGGGATGTAAACAGGCTGCAGGACCGTTTTTGGGGCTATGAGCCTTAATTTGCCATATCAGAATGTCTGGGTTCTCTCTCTTCCTCTTTCTGTTAAACATATGACCCAGTGGACCCAATGCTAGGAAAGACTCAGCGTGCCAGGGTGAATCAGAGTGCCTTCTCTTTTCTCTTCCACTTTCTTGGTTTCTCATTGCTCCCTGACACCCATCTTATGCCTGGGTCTTGAGAATGTTGGGTGACTCTTCCTCAGCAGGATCACAAGGTGGCCCTGTCTTTGTTAACCTTGGTTTTATTTATTCTTTATTTTTTTATTTTTTTTGAGTTGGAGTCTCCCTCTGTCACCCAGACTGGAGTGCAGTGGCCGCTCCCGGCCACTGCAGCCTCGACCTGCTGGGCTCTGGTGATCCTTCTGCCTCAGCCTTCTGAGTAGTTGGAATTACAGGCACGCGCTACCACACCTGGCTGATTTTTTTTATTTATTGTAGAGATGAGGCCTCACCAAGTTGCCCAGACAGGTCTCAAATCCACGGACTCAGGCAATCCACTCACCCCAGCCTCCCAAAGCGCGGGATTACAGGGCTGAACCACCGAGCCTGGCTCACCTTGGTTTTATAAATGGTCTCTTTTGACCACCACGTATCCAGGAAGCACTTCCCTAGGTTAGGGGGATGGTCATGGATTGTTGTGGAAAAGCCTCACTTATCCTAAATGTTTTCAAGCAGTTTCTCACAGAAGCCTTAGGAGAACATAGCTCTTTCCTGCTTTGTTCACTGATGTATATCTGCCAGGGTGTCTACCAGATTCCACTGGGTCTTGAAAACCACCTTATTCTCATCACAGAAAGGGTGCATTTTATGTTGCAACCATATAGCATACAAACATTTGCATAATCTGTATCCTGTCTCATCTTTGCGGCACCCCTTTGAGGTAGGGTGTGGCTCTTCCACTAAAGAAGAGGTAACTGAGGCTCAGAGAGGACCCTTGACTTGCCCAAGTCACATGATGGGTCGGTGGTGAGGCTAGGACTGGTCTTCTCAGTTCAGCTCGTTGAGTGGACCCTCAGCACCTCCAGATCTTGTTCTGTGTATGGTTTGAGTTTTGGTTTCAGAGGAGTTTGCCATTCGTTTCTTGGGCTGTTTCCCAAGCTCTAATTATTATTCCCTTACCACTTCAAGGATTTAGAATTTTTCACGAGCCACATACCACCTATACTATGATTAACTTATTTTTTCTATAAATAGACTTACTTTTATTTTAACTTAAAAGTTATGGGAAGAGGAAACTTTATGTCACTACCATAATAGTAAACCAGGGTCACATGACATAAGCAGAAGGCAACTGGAGCTTGGGAATAATGCCACATTCAATTCTAACCGGATATGCTATCTCTGGGGCTCTGAGTTGGGGTCTGCTGTCTTTGTTTAGAAGAAAGAGGGCAGGGGAATGGAAGTTAGTAAGTGGTAGAAAGACATTAATATACAATGGCACCAAACTGAGACTTTCTCCTCCTTGAAGAACTGGAAGAGACAATCATTTTCTCCCTCTTGATTCCAAGTTCTGAGTTTGGGGCCCACCTCAGTTCACCTCTGGGACTCCTCCTAAACTGGGCTGCAGGCCTCCTCACCTACCTAGTTCCCTAGCCTGCTTGGAAAGCCATCTGGAAGAGGAGGAGGGCGTCTGTGCCTTGGGAGCCGTCAGAAGAAGACGGGGAGGGCGGTGGGACCACAAGAGGGAGGGAAGCCCTCCCTCCTAGAGAGAACCAGATTATCACTTCCTTTTCAGTTCCCTCTGTTTGTGGGTGGTGATATGAAACTCCCCCCCAGCCCCCATTGGAGGATTGGAAGGTAGGGCCTTGTAGGGGGGAGCCAAGGAGCACCCACTCTGCCTGCCTGCACATTAGCTAATCATGTCCGTTTGGATTGGCTTTGTGGCTATTTCTGTATAGGAAGGTTTGCTCTTCTGAAGTGTGGCTGCATTGGATAGCATGACTATCTATCCACCCGCTCTGATTCATAACAGCATACGGTGCAAATCACATCGAAATGCTAAAGTTTCCCATTTATTCGGTATTGGTTAACCAGGAGGCCACCAGCAGCCCTGAAAATAGCAACACCTTGTTAGGAAGTCAGCTCTCTTCCCAGGATGGTAAGTGGAAAGACACAGGGCTCTTTTTTTTTTCTTTGAGTTGCTGGAATGTTGCTAAACTGGTCTTGTCTCTCTCTCTTTGTAACCCTGTTCCTCTCTACGCTCCCTGACTCCAATGTGGATCTCTAAAAGGGCAGTTGGAACCATTAAACGAGGTGGGTTAATTCGATGATTTGTTCCATCTGGTTTTTCATCAAGATGTGCTTGCCTTTCGTGCTGGAGTCTTGTGTGGGGTTGCGGGGATCTCAAGTCTTAGTCAATAACCCGATGCTCATAGCAGCACCGTTTGCATTCCTTTCTCCCAAGAGGAGTTCCCGGTGAACAGACACCAGTTGATAAGACAAGTTTCCTTTCCCACCCCTACTTACTCCGATTGATGATCTCTGTTTCATGCCACTGGGACTCGTTTTTTAAATATTTTTTCTCTGCTTTCAAGAAGACAGAGTAATAGTCATGGTGTTTCGAGAACATATTGTATAGACCTCATGATGTTGTATAAACCACCCACATGTCAAGAAAGACATTCACATAAACTACAAAAGAAAATACCTGCAAATGTTTTGCTCGCTCCTAATGGCTCCAGCGAGTTGATGTTTGCTGTTTTTGTGCCTGCAGTTGGTAAATAGAAATGGAAAACATTTTGTTCTGAGTACTCAGCCGCAGAGCCAGAACTCTTGAATGTCTGTATTATCCCTCATCGGGGATCGACTGCTTGTAATTTTGGGTGTCGTTTCTCCTCTTCCTCTTCCCCACCCCTCGCCCCTCATCCCCACTCCCTCCCCCCCTGCCTACCTCCCCCAACGGCCTTAGGGTTTTCTTTCTAGAATCTCTGATCTGCTGCTGTGCAGATGGACCTGCCGGCACTGCTGTCAGAAGTGCTACGAGTCCAGCTGCTGCCAATCGAGTGAGGATGAAGTGGAAATTCTGGGACCTTTCCCCGCCCAGACTCCTCCCTGGCTGTAAGTGAAACCACGCGGGATTTTCTGGCCACCAGTCTCAAGACCTTTCTTTTCTCTTTTTCTGAGAGGGGGGTCGGGGCATGGGAGGGAAGATGTGGGGGTAAGAAGGAGGAGGAGGTTGAGTTTCCGTTGACATCTCTGCTGCAGTTGGGGATGTGTTCTGTGGTCCTTGTGATGTTTGGCAAGCTGGCGAGACCAGCTGGCAGTGGGGTTTTGGTTCAGCTGGCTGCATGTCGGGCCTTCTGAGATATGAACCGTGTAACGCCAAGTGTGTGGGCACTTTTAGTCACGTGGAGTGTCGTGCCAAGCAGTGAAAGAGATCTGGGAGCGTCTGTATTCTTCAGGAGATGACCAGATTCTGAGGGGCTGCATCCAAGTCAGTGTGGCAAGACATCCTAGCACCGGGCCCAGGGCCTGCACACAGTAGATGCTCAGTAAACATTGATTGTACAGATGGGTGGATGGAATGAACAAACAAGGGCCTTTTTGTGGGTCTGAATATGAACTTCAGAAACGGGGAAGCAGAAGAGCACCCCCAGGCTCCATCCTGTCCTCCAACGCTGTTGATGTTCTCTCTGGCATCTCTCATTTTATTTCCAATTCTCTCTCCTCCCGCGCCTGCACACAACATCTCCATCTGCCAGTCGCTCAGATATTTTGGGAACACAGTTTTGAAGCTTTCTCAGCCACCTGTCTGGTCCACCTCTCTGTGGCTGGGAAAGGGACGTGGTCAGAGAGTCTGGATAGAGTCAAGGAGGTCAGGGCTGGGAAGTGCCTGGGAGTCACTGAGTGCAACTTCTGAGACCCAGAGTGGGAGAGGGACCATGCCAGGGCCCATAGTTGGAGTCAGGAGGAGGATGGGGTGGGGGGTGGGCATTGAGGCTGTGTCACCTCAGCTACATTCTCGGACTGAGACTCCAGAAGCCTCTGGTGCCCCTTGCTTCCCTCCAGATTGGGGTCAGGCCTCAGGCCTCTCATTTATTTTTCTTCTTAGAAGCAATATCAACGATTTCCATAGCAAAAAGGCTTTGCCTCAGGCTCTGTGAGTTCAAATCCTATTTCTACTGCTATTTTCTAGTTCCATGACTTTGGGCAAGTTGTTTGATCTCCCCATGTCTTGGTTTCCCATCTGTCAAATGGGGATGATTAAAAAAATAGTATTTATCACATTGGGTTGTTGCAGAGATGAAATGAATTTGTATATGGAAAAGTACTTAGGTATGCTTGATGCCTTGTCAAGGCTCACAGATGTGAGTGATTCTTTTCAACCTATTTCAGTCTTAGTTTTTTCATCTGTAAAGTGGGATTAGTAAAAGAACCTATCTTATAGGGCTATTATTACAAGTAATGAGATGTGCACATAACGTGCTTAGCACAGCAGTAAAAGCTCTGTCAGTATTCATTTCTATCATGATTAGGTGGCCTGAGTCTTACAGGTGTATGTAGAGTTGAGATGTTTGCTGAAAGCAATTCACTAGTCAAGAAATAATTCCCGTTCTCCAGTGGTTTACGTGGTAGAGGTTAGCTTAGCCCACCTGGTATCTTTAAAGCTATACTCACAGGATTCCCAGCTCTGCGAGGGCAGGGATTTTTGTCTGACTTGTTCACTCAAAGAAATAGTTGTTGACCGACTGACTAGCCTGAGGCAAAAATTGACTTCTGAACATGCCAGTCATCCAGCTGAAAAGTCCATCTCAGTCTCTTTGGTAGTTATTTCCCAAGCACACAGTGTACCCGGCACTAAGGAATGCACAAAGCTAGATAATAGGGCCTAGTGACTATGCTCAGAGGACTTCACATCTTGTATGGGAAATAAGGCAGGTATGTAAGTCCAGTCACCCACCCCCCACAGTTGTGCATTCACACTGTGCCTGCCATATAGGACAGTCCTGCATAAGGTTTTATGAAAGAATCCAGGGATAACGGCTTCAGGCATAGCTGGATCCAGAAACTAAAACTATGTCATCAGACTTTCTCTCTCTCCTGTATTAGCCTTATTCTTAAACTTGCTTTCTCCACGTGGCAGAGCTAGACTCACCTCCTGTTACTTTGCATCAAAAAACCCCAGAAAGACTTATTAGCCTGGCTTGAGTCACATAACAGTCCCTTGACCCAATCACTTTCACTCGGAAGAAATGATACTAGAATAATGCTAAGTTGCCTGCCCACTCTGGAAACCAGGAAAATGGCCATTCCCACAGGAACCAAGCTAGTAAACGTTGGCAAGCTTTTTTGGTAAAGGTAGAGAGTAAATATTTGAGCCTCGTAGGCCACGTGGCCTCTGTTGTAACTGTTCCCTTCTACCTTGCTGTACAAAAGCAGCTATGACAATGTGTAAATGAGTGGGTGTGGTTGTGTTCCAGTAACGCTTCACTGTCTCAGTCAGACAGGGGATGTGGCCCTAGATGGTAGACACCTGAAATAGACAATCTGGGTGTTGCAGCCAGCGAGGAGGGAATGAGCTCAGGGTGGGCAGACACACAAATGGACCCTACTCTGAGGAAGAGCTGGGGGAATCATGGAAAAACAGTCCTGCAAGCTCAGGCTGGGTAGGGTCTTGGATGCCAGAGTAAGGAATTTGGATTTTCTTCTGTACCCTTGGGGGAGCCCTCATAGACACTGAAAATCACAGTCAGGTACCTGTGTGCCCCCTGGTTGCTGTTACAGATGCACAGCCCAGATGCTGACACTGAGTGGGAGGACAGTTGTATTTTGTCCTGGCTGCTGACCCTTGTGGAAGCAAGGGACTCTTTGCGGGGGCAAGGGGTTTGGAACCCTCTAGCAGACACCTCTTTTGGTTTTGCTACCATAGAGAAGGAGACAGAAACTTTCCCAGCAGGAGCAACTCACCACACAACTCCAGGTGGTGCCATTCACATGGTGGCTATTATGGCACCACCCAGAGTGGTACAGTTGTACAGTCTATAGCCTGAATAGCTGTGCATGGCCTTCCCAAGATAAACCAGGTCTCTTCTGAATCCCGGGCACTCAACATAATGCAAAATGGTAAGAGAAATCTGTAAAGGGAAGATGGGGTAAATCATTCAAAAAGCGAATTTACAGCTTGTGTTATCCCCAGATTTATTTACCAAGTGGGCAGTTGCATGTTACCAAACAGGCAGGGAGTAGAAATGTCAAGTGTACGGGCTGTGCAGTGCTGTTCTTGCTGTGACATTTGAGCCAAGAACCATGAGACGAACCTCTGTGAACTGGCCCTCCTGGTGTGCTCTGTGTGAGATTCTGGGGACACACCATTAATTCTCACATATGCTCTTATCCCCTGGGCCCCAGCCTTCCTTGTCTGGGCTGGGCTGGGCTGGTGAGGGTCAGGGAAACTGTACAATCTAACTGATTCCTTTTGGGGCAATGCCAGAAAGACTGTCACTGAGGAATGAGTTGGGCTCAAGTTGTTTATTTGTCCAACAAGCTTGTGTTGCGTACCTACTGTGTGCAGAGCTCTCATGGGTCTTGCAGAAATATCCTGCCCAACGGTAGGGAGCTTGCCATTCAGAGTTTGGCATTGCAGTCTCATCCCTCCCCCACCCCACCTGGGGCCTCTCCTTACCATCTGTAAAGGGGGGTGTGGGGCAGTTAACAACAACTAACGCCCAGATTTTTTTTTTTTAAGAGGCAGGTCCTTGCTCTGTAGTTCAGGCTGAAGTACAGTAGTGCAATCATAGCTTACTCTAACCTTGAACCTCTGAGCTCAAGCAATCATCCCACCTCAGCCTCATGAGTATCTGGGACTACACAAGTGGGCCACCACACCTGACTCATTTTTGAAATTTTTTGTAGAGGAGCAATCTTGCTGTGTTGCCCAGGCTGATCTCAAACTCCTGGACTTAAGTGATCCTCCTGCCTCAGCTTCCCAAAGTGCTGAGACTACAGGTGTGAGCCACCTTGTCTGGTTAATTTTTAATTTTTTTATTTTTGTAGAGACAGGGTCTTGCTATGTTGCCCTGGCTGATCTCAAACTCCTGGGCTCAAGTGATCCTCCTGCCTTGGACTCCCAAAATGCTGGGATTACAGGCTCTTGGCCTACATTATTTTAAAGATAGAATGAGATGGCGCCTTTAGCAGAATACCTGACGCGTAGTAGGTGCTCAGCACCTGCTGCCTTTGATCATAGTAAATATAGGTTCTGTGATGAAGAAGTGCATCCTGGTATCAGAGGTGGTGATAAGACGGACAAAGTTCGACAATTAGGTTTGCAAACCATCCTAGAAAAAGTATATAATACTATTTTCATTGCTGAATATTACTATGGTCACCCTTGAAGTACTCCCCTTGGGAAGCTATGCATTGATGCCAGCACCTAGTCCAGAAACTTTGGAAACTCTTTCTAGAGTGGCCATCAGAGCTGTCATCATTATTTGTTGAGGTGTGACAATTAAGTTCACAAACTTCCCATGTGCACTTACGTTGGCAGCGCTGTACAAATAACTGTAGGAGAACACCCTCCCTACTCACCTGATCTGGCCCCCAATGACTTTTTTCTTTACCCAAAGATAAGGGAACTATTGAAAAGAAGACATTTGATGACATTCAGGACATCAAGGGTAATATGACAATGGCTCTGATGGCCATTCCAGAAAAAGAGCAGAGGACTGAGCCAGACAGCTAGCAGGGGTGGGAAGAGCATTCTGGACAGAGGGAACGGCGTGACTCGGCATGTCAAAGGGCAGGGAGGCCTGATGCCAGAGTGGATGGGATGGGGCGTGGCTGGGTACACACGAGCAGACATGTCTGAGAGTCTTCAGGGGCCATGGCATTCAAGCTGATCCTGGAGGCTGGTGGGACTGCAAGGTGGTGGTGGGAGGCGGAGCCTTGCAGGTGGGCAGGTGTCCCTGTGGCTGGAACATTTGGGCCTGCCTTCCCGGAGACAGTGCTGCTTTCATTTAAGGGAGAGAGAGGAATGACTGAGGCCATAAGAGCCCACGTCTGTGCCCATATCCCCTATCTCTCACATTTCATTCACCCCTCACCTTGTACAGACCCAGAGCAGGAAGCAGGAAGCAGGCACGCCTTCTGTGTCCCCCTCATCACCGTCCCAGTCCTGCCCTGCCTGGGACCCATTAGATGGCTCTGAAGTGCATCAGGCTCGTCTCGGTTCATGGAGAGAGGCAGCTAAAGCCCCCACAGAATTCAAAACTTGCATTTTTCGAGACGAGTTTCCCGGCAGGCTTAGATGTCAGTGTGGGAGGATGTGGTCTCAGGAGGCAGAAGTCCACAGCCACTGTGGCCGAGGGGCACGCTGTGCGCAGCACTGGTCTCAAAGCCACGGCGCCAGCTCTTTTCTGCCTCCTTTCCCTTCTCCCCCTTCTTACCTAGCTTGTGAGATTGGGGTGGGGGGAATCTTAAAAGTTGTCCCTGTTGTAATCATATCAACTAAGGCCGGGCTCAGTGGCTTACACCTGTAATCTAGCACTTTGGGAGGCTGAGACAGAGGGATCACTTGAGCCCAGGAATTCGAGACCAGCCTGGGCAACACAGCAAGAATCCTGTCTTTACAAAAAATAAATTAGCCAGGTGTGGTGGCATGCACCTGTAGTTCTAACTATTTGGGAAGCTGAGGCGGAAGGATTGCCTTAGTCCAAGAGGTTGAGGCTATAGTGAGCCATAGTGAGCACTCCAGCCTGGGTGACAAAGTGAGACCGCAATTCAACATAATAATAATAATAATAATAATAATAATAATAGTATCAGCTAAGCCGGGCATGGTAGCATGCACTTGTAGTCCCAGCTATCTGTGAAGCTGAGGCAGGAGGATTGCTTGAGCCGAGAAGTTCAAGTTTACCCTGGGCAATGTAGCAAGAACCCATCTTAAATAAATAAATAAAAATTAAAAATGTATTCAGTACCTAGTTACTACATACAAAGCACTGTTCTAAGCATTTCATATGTGTTAACTCATTCAGTGTTTACAGCAACCATAGAAGGTGGGTACAGTTATTGTTTCCACTTTACAGATGGGGGGAGGCACAGAGAGGGGAAGGGACTTGCTCAAGGTCACCCAGCCAGGGTTCAAACCCCGAGGCTGTGCTCCTAATCACTACCCTGTACCGTCTTCTCCTGCCCTATCCGCCTGCACCTCCCTCCCCAGTTTCTCAGCATTTCTCATCTTGACTTCATTTGAGTCACAGCTGCTGCCACTAATTCCTAGCTGTTTCTTCATGCCGAACTTCTGTTCTTCAGTTGTTGACTCTTGGGGCCATTTTGTAACCGTAGCTCTGCCGCTGCTCAGAAAACCCTTGAGTGACATTGCTTTAGGATAGTTTTAAAGGCTGTTAAATTACAGGCACAGCGGCTGTTGAAACAGCAGGGCACTTGATACCAACAGCCCCTTGCAGAAGTTTGGATGCATACCCACAGCCACCTGGTTCACTCCAGACTGGAGACTGGCGGGTCTCAGGTGTCACTTAGTCAACGTGGCACCCCCAAGTGGCCATAGCTTGCGTTTCCACATCCCTCCACCCAAGTCCCACTTTGAAGTTATACAAGTTCTTGATTGACTGTTCTAAATTGGAGATTATTTCTTCCTATCATTTCACATTTTGTGCAAAATGCAAGACATTGGTGAGAGTGTAAGGACACTACACTGTTTCAAATTTGCATTATTCCAAGTTGCATCAAATGGATCAGAGCCGCTTCCTCGAGGATGGAGATGCCTGTCCCTGGAGATCCCTGAACAACCATTGAGACCTCTTCCCCTCCTGCAGGATGGCCAGCCGGAGCAGTGACAAGGATGGCGACTCCGTCCACACAGCCAGCGAGGTCCCGCTGACCCCACGGACCAATTCCCCGGATGGGAGACGCTCGTCTTCAGACACTTCCAAGTCCACGTACAGCCTGACTCGGAGGATTTCAAGTATGTATCTCTGCTGTGACTGTGGGGGTCCTTGGCTGGCATTCCCAGACACTCCACAGCGTTCCCAAGGAGAGTCATGAAGCACAGGGCTGTTGCGGGGGAAAAGGCAGAGTGGAGTGATAGCCCAGGAGACAGGGTGAGAAAGAAAGAGATAATGATAGTGTGACATATGAATGCATCACACTTGATTTCTACTGAGCTTAGTCGAAGAAAGCAATCGTTTTGATTGATTTTTTGCTCTTATTGATCGAATTGGCTCAATTGATGGGCATTGTCAGTGTTACCGTGTTATATCACATGGCTTGCTAATTCAAGTGACTTTGGGGGCCAGGCAGTTTGTGTCAGTGGCTGAGTGCAGAGGTTGGGTAGAGATAAACATCACCCTAATGCAGTGACAAATGGCAGCTTACACACTGGAGAGTACTAGGGCAGGGTGGGGACTGCCTTCAGTTGTAAGTTAACTGCCACATTGAAAGTGGGCAGGTAGCCACTGGTAGCTGTATGGGATTATGGGCCCAGTATTGCCTAATCTTTGTAAAGAGAAACAGGCAATTTGGATTTTTGTATGAAACTTTCTTACTTTCAAATCTAAACAAAATATATGTGTGGTGGTCAAATTTGGCCACCGACTTTGTCCACTCTTGTGTAGCATGTGTCTTTGACCAAATAGCATGATTTGGATGAAGAGGAGGAAAGAGGGACAGGGCCCAGAGATTCCCAACCTCCTTTTACTCCACAAAAGTATCTGCTCTCGTTCATCTGCTGTCTGATGTTCACTTCATGGAGGGTAAGGGCTTAAAACACAGGAAATTAATCCATTCAGGAGGAGATTGCTGGCGTTTGATCTTTCCTAGGAGAAGATGGAGAAGAAAAAAGAAATAGGAGTGACTCAGCCTATAATCCCAGCACTTTGGGAGGCTGAGGTGAGTGGATTGCCTGAGTCTGCGTGTTCGAGACCAGTCCAGGCAACTTGGCAAGACCTTGTCTCTACAATAAATAAAAAATTAGCTGGGCATGGTAGTGCGTGCCTGTAGTTCTAGCTACTTGGAAGACTGAGGTGGAAGGATCACTGGAGCCCGGCAGGTTGATGCTGCACAAAGACGTACCACAGCACTTCAGCCTGGGCGACAGAGTGAGACTCCAACTCCAATTTAAAAAAAAAAAGGAAGTAGGAAAAGAGAGTTCCAGGGCCAGGGCTTGAAATAGTGAAACAGTGGAGACGTTGGGCTTCTTCAGGCCTTAGTCTTTCCATCTGTAAGATGAAAGGGCTATTCTAGACCTACGCTGCCCAATTCAGCAGCCGCCAGCCACACGTAGCCTGTGAGCACTTAAATGGTGTGAGACCAAATCAAGATGTGCTGTTAGTGTAAGATACATGCTGGGCTTTGAAGACAGCATGGGAAAAAAATAGAATTTAAAATATCTCACTAAAGTGTTTTATATGTGTTACATGTCAAAATGATAATGTTTTGTATAAAGTGAGCTAAATCAAATAAATTATTAACATTAATTTTGCCTTTTTTTTGGTACATCTTAAAAGCTGAGGCGGCTGAGATATGTAGGCATGACTTATATGTCTAGCTTGCATTCTATTTCTCCAGGCAGTACTGGTCTAGATGATTTGAAGTCCTCTCGCCCCAGCTTTGAACACAGGTGATTTCAGTTAGCACAGATTTATCAGAGGACCACCTGTGCCCCAGGCACGAGCCTCATGATTTCAGCTGGCAAGACAGATGCTCTGGCAATTAACAAGAATGCCACAAGCGCATTGCTAGAACAGAGGGATATGCAGGGATTAGGATGAGGGACTTGGGAGCAGTGGGTTCTGCTGGTTGATGTGGAGGCAGAGGCAGCCTCTACGTGCTAAGGTTTGCATATGATCCCTGAAATACCATCATTCCCATGTATTGGCCTCTTACTATGGGCACGTGCTGTGCCAAGCCCTTCTGTGCCTTAGCTCCATGAATCTTTACCACAGTCTTTGAGGTAGGTGCCTCCGTGTTATAGACAGGAAAACTGAGTCCCAGAGAGTCTAAAGAAGGTGCCCAGAGTCACAGGGCTGTTACTAGTAAGTCAATTGGCTCATGAATAAGTGGCTGGGTTGGGGTTTGACTCAGACACTCTCTTAGTGTCTTCTGTCTTAGAGTGGAGGCTGCATAGGGTAATGGTTGGAGTCAGAGCCTGGGGCCAAGAGGCCAGCCTGGCCCCCGACGCCTCCACTCACAGGTGTGTGACCTTCAGGAAGCTGAGGTTTCTATTTCCTCATCTCTAAAGAGGGGATAATAGTAATTAACTAATAATTCAAGGGGATGTGAAGATGACTGCAAATATTAGATGGCCTTTTTATTTAGATTCAGGGTACACGTGCAGGTTTTTTTTACATGGGTATATTATGTGATGGTGAGGTTTGGACCTCTATTGAACCCATCACCCAATCAGTGAACATGGTACTCCATAGATAGTTTTTCAGCCTTTGCCCCTCTCTCTTCCCCACCCTTAGGAATTCCAGTGTTTGTTATTCCCATTTTTATGCTTGTGTGTACCCAGTTTTTAGCTTCTACTTATAAGTGAGAACGTGGTATTTGGTTTTCTGTTTCTGCATTAATTCACTTAGAATAATGACCTCCAGCTGCATCCATGTTGCTGCAAAGGACATGATCTTGTTCTTTTTTCCAGCTGCATACTATTCCACTGTGTATAGTATGTACCACATTTTAAAAATATATTAGATGGCTTAATACACAATCCATTTAGGATGATGCCTGGCACTTAGCTGCTGTGATGGCAGTGGTGATAATAATGCTGTCATATCACCTCGCCTAGAATAGATGAATTGTTTTTTTTTTTTTTTTTGAGCTGAAGTCTCACTCTGTCGCCCTGGCTGGAGTACAGTGGCGTGCTCACAGCTACCGCAGCCTCAACCTCCTGGGCTCAGACAAGCCTTCTGCCTCAACCTTCCAAGTAGCTGGAACTACAGGCACGTGCCACCACACCCGGCTAATTTTTTGATTAATTGTAGAGATGAGGTCTCGCCAAGTTGCCCGGGCTGGTCTTGAACCTGTGGGCTTAGGCAGTCCTCTCACCTTGGCCTCCAAAGTGCTGGGATTAGAGGCATGAGCCACTGCGCTCAGCCTAGATGAGTGTTTCAAAATGTGTGGAGGCCGGGTGCAGTGACTCACACCTCTAATCCCAGACCCTTGGGAGGCGGAGGTGGGAGGATTGCGTGAGTTCAGGAGTTCGAGACCATCCTGGGCAACATGGCAAGACCTCCTCTCTATTAAAAAAAAAAAGTGGAGACAGGATGGCGAGGAGCATTTTGTTGTTTTGTTTTGTTTTGTTTATTTTGAGTTGGAGTCTCACTCTGTCACCCAGACTGGAGTGCAGTGGCCACTCCCGGCCACCGCAGCCTCGCCCTGCTGGGCTCAGGCAATCCTTCCGCCTCAGCCTTCCAAGTAGCTGGAATTACAGGCGCTCGCTACCACCCAGCTAATTTTTTGATTTATTGTAGAGATGAGGGCTCACCAATTGCCCAGGCGGGTCTGGAACCCGCGGGCTCAGGCAATTCACTCACCTCAGCCTCCCAAAACGTGGGATTACAGGCTGAGCCACCGAGCCCGTTGCGAGGAGCATTTTGAAGCAGAGCTGACAAGGCAAGAGTCTACGACCCGCTGCCGATCTCAGAAGTGGCCCGGGTCTGCCGGCGGGTGGCGGTGTTCACTGTTATCCCTGGTGGCCCTGCAGGTCTCGAGTCCCGACGGCCCAGCTCCCCGCTCATCGACCTCAAGCCCATCGAGTTCGGCGTGCTCAGCGCCAAGAAGGAGCCCATCCAGCCTTCGGTGCTCAGGCGGACCTACACGCCCGACGACTACTTCCGGAAGTTCGAGCCGCAGCTGTACTCCCTCGACTCCAGCAGCGACGACGTGGACTCCCTGACGGACGAGGAGATCCTGTCCAAGTACCAGCTGGGCATGCTGCACTTCAGCACCCAGTACGACCTGCTGCACAACCACCTCACGGTGCGCGTGATCGAGGCCAGGGACCTGCCGCTCCCCATGGCCCACGACGGCTCGCGCCAGGACCTGGCGCACTCCAACCCCTACGTCAAGATCTGCCTCCTGCCCGACCAGAAGAACTCCAAGCAGACCGGGGTCAAGCGCAAGACCCAGAAGCCCGTGTTCGAGGAGCGCTATACCTTCGAGATCCCCTTCCTCGAGGCGCAGCGCAGGACCCTGCTCCTGACCGTGGTGGACTTCGATAAGTTCTCCCGCCACTGTGTCATTGGGAAGGTCTCCGTGCCCTTGTGCGAGGTTGACCTGGTCAAGGGCGGGCACTGGTGGAAGGCGCTGATCCCCAGCTCGCAGGTAAGGGGTGGGTTTGTGGCGTCTCCTCCCAGGAGCTTGGGGACAAAAGGATGGTTCGAATTCTATTTTAAAAATTGGGGGCATTTAAAAAAAAGTTTTATTTTGAAATCACTTTCATCTCAAGAAGTTGCAGAAATAGCACAGAGAATGTCTGTGTCCTCTGAATCCAGCATGCCCCAGAGGTGATGTCTCAGGTGAGAGAGTCCATTAGCCACAGTGGGAAATAGACACTGGTAATTAAACCAGACCTTACTCAGATTTCGCCGGGTCTTACATGCACCGCACCTTGGGCGTGTTTGCATGTGTGTGTGTAGTTCTTTAAAATTTTAACACATGTGTAGATGTGTGTAACCAGCACCACTCTGGGAGCTTTTTCTGTCATCAACGCTAGGCTGTTTAATAAGGAGAATGATTGTCTGGTGCATAACACTATCAGTCATGCTGACTTTCAGAAATTGATTTGAGGGGAAAAAACAAGTGAAGGCCAGAGAACAGGATGATGCATGAATACACTTTAGGCAGATTGCTAGGTTGGCTTCGTGTTCCCCACACCGCCCCCCGGCCAAGCCTGGGGAGATGCAATTGGCTGCCTGGGAAGCCACCCATGGCCCCAGTTGTCTCTCTGGGAGGCTACTGGGCATTCCTGCCCATGGGGGAACAACTGGCACTCACTGTGGGAAGAAGGGCAGAAGGACATGGGGATGCCAGGGGAAGGGAAAGACCCAGTCAGCAGGAGGCCCGTCTAGCCCATCCACGCCGGGGCAGCAGTCCTGTGTGATGTAGGCAGTACGCTCTTGCGTTGAACACATGAGATGCCTCTCCTCATTATGCCATATTGACCAGGGGTCTGTGACCCAGTGTCACATTTGGGGATACAGATGCTATTTTAAATTTTTATTATTTTATATATTTGTTTTTGAGTAGGAGTCTCACTCTGTCACCCAGGCTGGAGAGCAATGGCATGATCACCACAGCCTCGACCTCCTGGGCTCAGGTGATCCTCCTGCCTCAGCTTCACCATGCCTGGCTGGTTTTTTTTTTAGTTTTTTTGTAGAGATGAGGTCTTGCTATATGGCCCAGGCTGGTCTTGAACACCTTTGCTCAAGCAGTCCTCCTGCCTTGGTCTTCCAAAGTGCTAGGATTATAGGTATTGAGCCACTGTGACCAGCCTTATTTTTAATATTATTTTTATTTTTTAAATTTTTATGGATTTAGGGGGCACAAATACAGTTTTGGTTGCATGGACTTAGTACACAGTACTGAAATCTGGGCTTTCAGTGTAACCTTCACCCACGTAGTATACATTGTATCCACTGGGTAATTTTTCAGGGTACCGTTTTAAACATGAGGGCTGGAGGGACTGTCCCCTTGTCAGAATGTGTTGTGTGTGTGTGTGTGTGTGTGTGTGTACCTTCAAAGACAGATTTATCCCTTTCTTAGATTGGGTTCTTTAAGGAGACCCCAAGGTTAGGAAAAACATTTATCAGGAAAGTGACACAGTAGGAGACACCATGAGGAAGAGGGACAGTTCCGGAGGCACGATCAAGCTGGCCACCACTGGTGTGACTGGGGAAACTGGGAGCCCGTGTAAGGCACACACCAGCAAGCAGGGATGGAGATGGGATATTTATGCAGTGACTCCTAGGGGGAGCAGTTGGGAGGCGGGAGGTCAGTTCCTTGGCACTCTGACCTGTTCCCCGGCAGGTAAAGAGGCCTCTGATGTCCACAAATGTAAAGGAATATAGGAGCTGGCAGCTGGATTCCAGACCCACATGTGCTGAGGCTGTGAGGACACGGGGATGGCAGGCAGGGTCTTGGCTGTCAACTGTGATCCCAGACGCACACTGGGCCTTTCCTCTTGCTGATCTTCCTTCCTGCCACATAGTAGGATCTGTGGGTTGCTCTTGGGGTATCCTCCTTAACCTGATACCTCTGAGTTTCTGAAGAATGACGCTGTCGCAACCATCTCGCAACCTAACAGTTTATTTTATTTGAAAGATGTGGGGTACAATTCAGGGTTAGTTATACAAACGTTGATTATGCAGGTACCCTTGTTGATGAGGTGTGCCCCTCCCTCCCTTGGCAGTTTCCCTCAACTGCCAGTCCAACCCCTTACAACCTAACAGTTTAAAGAGGGAGACTCACTAGACAAAATAAATTCTGTCTTGCTAAGCTCCATAACCTTAGTGGAAGTCCTAGAGAATCCAGACGTCCACACAGCTCACCTCCTTAGTTCTTGGCTCAGATGTCACCTTCTCGGTAAAGCCTTCCTGCCACGTCACTGTAGCTGGGCTTCTTCCTTCCCTCCCTACCTCCCTTTTCTCCTCTCTTTCCTCCCTCCCTCTCTTCCTCCCTCCCTCTCTGCCTTTCTCCTTCCTCCCCCCTCCGTCCCTCCTTCCTTCCCTCCCTCCCTTCCTTTCTTTTGACTTTCTTCCTTTCTCCTTCCCTTCTCTCTTTCCTCCCTTCCTCCCCTCCTCCCTCTCTCCCTTCCTCCCTTTCTTCTTTCTGAGATGGCTGGTGAAGACACAGGAATGAGAAATACAGGGGAGAAGACCTTGGCCACCATGAGGTTGATAAGAGTTGTTTTTCCATGGGAGCCTTTGGGCGATATGTGAGGAAAATGGCCTTAGGCCCAACCTCCCTACTCCTTCTAGCTGTGCCGTGAACCCTTCTGCCCCCTCATAGGTAAAGTGGAGGTAATAATACCACTTTCCAGGGGTGAGGTGAGGGGATAACCTTGTTAAAGGGCCCAGCAGGTAGTGAGCCCTCCACCAGTTGCAGTCCTGGCCATCAGGGCAGGACGTCTTCTACTCTGAGCTGATTCTGAACATGCCTGTGACTGGTCACTTCCCTGTGCACTGTGCAGTGATCACACCTAGTGAATATCTTGTTGGGTGAGCAGGAGTACAGAGTGTTTCTGATCACTCCCGCCGCTGAGGCTTCTTAAAGCAGAGGACCTGGCATCTTGTGAGCTGAACTGATTTCAGGACGCTGCCTCCTTCCCTCTGAAGAGGGACTGCAGGGCCTGCCTCATGTCACTATGGGAGCAGTTTTCTCCCAGACAGAGGCTGACTCATCACCCTTGGTGCAACTTCAAGCTGTGCCTTAGTTTTAAGGGACCATTGGGCGCTTCTGTGAGTTAAAGGTATGTATGGAATTGACATTTTTTAGGCAGGTTGGCCGCTCTGGTGGCCCATCTGGCTTGTACTCTGGTCTGTCACGCTGGGACTTCTAACTTTGCTGGTGCTGTTTTCAGGTAGATAGTGGCTGTGGATTCCTGTCACTAGGGGTTGACCTTTAAACCCTAGCTTGTGAACTCCCTATGTCCCTCACTCCTGATGAAGATGAGTGTTTTCTTAGTACAGCTCAAAGTCGTTTTGTAAAGAATCACCTGAACCCTTAAGATAGTACTTTTCTTTCTCTTCACCCCTCTTTATTATTCTTTGTTCTTTCCTCTTTTTCTAGTTTGCTCATTTTTTTCTTTCTATTTTTCTTGAGGTCTTATTATGTGCCAGGGATTTCTAGTTGGGTTAATAAAATGAATATCACACAATTCCCCTTAGCAAGAAACTCCCAGTCTAGTGAGGAAGATAAATTGGTAAACAGCAAGTCATAAAACAGTGTGCTGCATGTCGGCATAAAGATACAATCAAGATTCATTTTATTTTATTTTTTTATTTTATTTTTATTTTTTTTTGAGTTGGAGTCTCACTCTGTCACCCAGACTGGAGTGCAGTGGCCGCTGCCAGCTACAGCAGCCTCGACCTGCTGGGCTCCGGCAATCCTTCTGCCTCAGCCTTCCAAGTAGCTGGAACTACAGGCGCGCGCTACCACGCCTGGCTCATTTTTTTTTATTTATTGTAGAGATGAGGTCTCGCCAAGTTGCCCAGGCGGGTCTCGAACCCGTGGGCTCAGGCAGTCCACTCACCTCAGCCTCCCAAAGCGCAGGATTACAGGCTGAGTCACAGCCCGGCTTCGTTTTATTTTTAAAATTAAATTGATTTTTTTTTTTTAAGAGATGGGGTTTTGCTATGTTGCCCAGGCTGATCTTGAAATTCTGGGCTCAAGTGATTTTCCCACCTGTCTCCCAAAGTGCTGGGATTATAGGTGTGAGCTACTGTACTTGGCCAAGACTCATTTTTTAAATAATGGTCAAAGCTGACCTTGAAAAATCCCTTAGGAAGGTGTCCTGCTAGAGAATGACATACTGTCTCTCAATAATTCCAGCATGGTAGGTCTTACACCATTGGAATAGATCAGAATATGCTCATTTACATTTGGGGAATGACTGTATTTTAAGCAGGAGTTATAAATGCTGATGAAATCTACTGGGGGGAGGCGTCATGCTATTTGAATATTTCTTTTTGAGTATCAGAACTGTGCTTAGTGACGCAAGAAGCTCACACAAATAATGGCATGTGGAGACTTTGAGGGTAGATGCACTCCTGTCGCCCATCTCATGCTTACCCTGAAACTGATGCTCTTTGCCTCTGCCAACCCATGCCATCTTTCTCCTGTGTGTGTCTGTGTCTTCTCCTCTTCTTGTAAGGACATCAGTCATACTTGCTTGGGACCCACCCTACTCCAGTGTGACTACATCTTAACTTAATTACATCTGCAATGATCCTGTTTCTAAAGGGGGTCACATTCAGAGTACTGGGGGTTGGGACATCAATCTCTTTTTGAGGGACACAATTCAACCCATGAGAGGGTACAAGAGAAAAACCAGCAAGGGAAGGAACAAAATGGAGTAGGTGAAGGGGACCAGCTGAGTGAGGATGTGACCTCAAGTCCAACCTAGCCCAGCCTGGCCGATGTGGGTAGGGGACTCTGGATCATAGGTGTGCACTCCAGACTTGGTCCTCCTCTATCAACTCATCATTGGCTGTGAATCAGACTGTGATATTTTACTTTCAGCTGGGTGGCCATGGGCCCACCCAAAACTCCTGTTACTCTAGAACAGACCTTCTGCACTAGGGGTTCCTTGGAGACATTTTGGG